CTGAAACATTATGCCAGAGGTAACCAGTTCGATACCCGTACAACATTTTTTTTTGTCTGGGTGATTTCTAAGTTGATAAGGTCACGTATGTTACCATAGTGCAAGTTTAAGTAATAAGTACGGGGCCTTTCCCACCGTAATCCAGTTTTGAAGGATCCAATAATGCAGGACCCCGTAAAACTGAACTCTCATTTGAACACAAAATAGTTTGTATGAAATTCGAACGAATCGGTTTTTTGTGGCCTTTGCAGGAGATTGCAAAAGGGATGAGATCCTACAAAAAAACACTTCCAGCAAAATACGAGATGTCCTTGTCGTAAAGAACCCTAAGATCTAAACCTAGTATAGTTTAATGCATTTAGCAAACGAATTTCAGACCACATTTTCGTCCCCAAAACTATGTCGTGCAGCAATGTCACGCAAAACGACGGCGTCCCGTCACTCGTCGGGCCCGACACGCGGCGCGGCGTGACGACTGATGGATGAATGAACGCTATCAGTGAAACACGTCATCTATGTGCATGACGCGATTGGGATATGTCACATTCTAAGTCGCAGGGGTATGATAAAAGAGATCCTGCCCGGTTTTCATCAAGGCGGAATGAAGCGGAGAAGAAAGGAGATGTGTCGGGCGAACAGATTTTTCTAAAGAACTTAACAGCGTCGGCGGCGCGGCGCGAAGCGGAGATGAGATGTAGAAATAATTAAATCTGATTGGTTATTCAACACATCTCCGCTCCGCCTTGGTGTAAAGCGGGCCTCAGGCACTGTCATATTACAAGCGCTCTAAGCAGTATTACAAGCGGTCCGCCCCGGGTGCCAAACATCAGGGGGTGACACAAGTCGCGCTGATTAGTACTCACTGGCACATCTGCATGGCAAGTCTGCGGTCTATGTCATGATACGGGGGAATATCTTTCAATCTTCAAATCGGTAGGTAAACCCAAAAAATTCTGAGGGGTACTAGGGGGTGCCTTGCCACTGGCTCTAAGTGGACCCTAAGACGGCAAATTGTATTTTAATAAAACAAGAAAGCACATAACTCATCGTTTCGAATGCTCACTTGCTCAGTTCAGTTTACAGGGCAGTTATGAATTATACGTGCCACGGGTACTAATCAAAACCCTATTTTAATTACCACGCGATTTCTTACTCGTGCAAATTAATACAGCTCTACATTTTCCATACTTATTTAGCAAATTAATTAATTTAGTTAAGCTGCTATAAATCTTTACACATAGCCTGACTACCAATTATTGTTTTCAATGATACGGATAATTATCAATATTTGTTTGGTATCTAATAATTGCCTTTATTAAATACCTACATCTTTAATAATTATGAAAACCTTCTGTTTAGGGAAATAAAAACTCGCTTTGCACCTGAAAATTTAGATAGGTACTTTTATTACACGTTTTATTAATTTATACATTGCTGAAAATTAACATAAAGTAAGACTGCCTTCCGTTCGCTTCATATCCCACTCTGTTACATTTTATTGCACTCGCTATTAGTCCAGTAGAATTAGCTTTTAAATCGGAAATAATTCCTACAAAAGATTTTATTGTTTTAATGGCTTCATTGGTTGCCCATTAAGACTCTCCTAAGTTTTCGACTTCGACGGAGTTGTGCTTAAGTGGTGGGGGCCCCCGAAAGGGGCATTTTATCGGTTTTCCGGTTATACCGCGTAAAGGACTTACCCTATCAAAAAGTGGTCTTCATGACGGTTGAAGGGCACTTAATCCTGCATTGAATAAGACCAAATTCATATGTTTTGGATATTATCTGTGGTTTTGGACAAACCGTTCTCGCGCTAAAGTTCGGCAAAGTAGAAAATATACGTATAATTAATGACCCTCTCCACGTCCAATGGCTTGTTACCCACATGCTTCCAAGCCTTGTAAAGGGTCGCCTTAACCAGTGTAACCCTAACAAGGCTCACGAGTTTGATTCGCTTATCCTTGTTCGTCCCAGCCGTTCCTTAACTGCGGTTGCTGCACCTCTTCCTGGCACTCTCCTGAACGACTCTGTGTTACCTAATGTGGCTGCCCCTCTTCCTTGTATCCTCCTGCTTATATTTCATTGCTTAGCCATATGCCTGGTCCAAGGTTCGACGCCACAAAATCAACTTCGTACGAGTGAAAATAGTTTAAATACTATTTCCCGTGCTTGCAACATTTTTCTTTACTGCTTCGCCTCTATTAGTCGTAGAGTGATTGTATATGTTACTGTAAAAGCTCGAATTGCAGTAAACCCTAAGATATTCCAGTAAAACCTAAGATCTACCAATGTCTAATGGTAAATGTCCCAATAGGTTTGCGATTCGAACTCTTACCACCATTTCGTTGGTAAATCTTAGGATTTACATTAATGGCACGGTAAATGTTGAAAAACAAAACATGTCATAACGTGCTCAGCGCATCTCATCATCATCATCATCATCATCATCAGAAATTACTTCAATTGGAAAAAATCGAATCTAAATATATAAAAGGAGAAACTGACTGACTGACTGACAGATCAACGCACAGCCTAAACGGCTAAACGTAGGCACTTGAAATTTGGAAGTGACGTAGCTTAGGTACCGTAGAGGTGCACTAAGAAAGGAATTCCCGAAATTCCCACGGGAACGGGAATTAGCGGGAAAAACGGGATTCACGCGTACGAAGTCGCGGGCGGCCGCTAGTCTATCTTAATATTGAAGTTGCCCTCTTTGTATTTCTAGTCGCTTACTTAGTAATGAAGTCGCACGGACAGAATTTTAATATCTAAAATGGATTAAACATAACCCACTTTTTGTAAGCTCGTTCTGCATTTGATTATATTAATCAATATTCGTCGTTAGTTAAGTTAATTTTTCGCTTACTCAAATTCATACCGCTCAAGTTATTAAAACAGTAAGTATATGCCATCATCAGTCGCTAGGTTATTTATTAGTCGATCGTGTTATAATTCCCCATTAAGAATTACTCATTGTTTTATTCCTAAAACCAACATCTACCAGCTGACAGAGGTAAAACCTAGCATATACTGAATTCGTATGGTAAAAGCTCGAAAAAATCGTCGTATTTTCAGAAATACTTACATTTACCAACTCATGTCGGTAAATCCTAAGACTTACATTTAAATCTTAAGATTAACCGTAGTTCGAGCTTTTACAGTAACATATATATTCTATAGCCTTCCTCAATGTATGAGCTATTCAACACAAAAATAATGATTTCAATCAAACTAGTAATTCTTAAGATTAGCGCGTTCAAACAAACAAACAAAAAACTCTTCAGCGTTTTAATATGAACTTGTTGTTGTTGATTTTTGGCGTCGAACCTTAGACCAGGCATACGGCTAGGCAACGTAGTCGTGCAGGAGGATACAAAGAAGAGGGGCAGCCACATTAGGTAACACAGAGTCGTTCAGGAGAGTGCCAGGAAGAGGTGCAGCAACCGCAGTTAAGGAACGGCTGGGACGAACAAGGATAAGCGAATCAAACTCGTGAACCTTGTTAGGGTTACACTGGTTAAGGCGACCCTTTACAAGGCTTGGAAGCATGTGAGTAACAAGCCATTGGACGTGGAGAGGGTCATTAATTATACGTATATTTTCTACTTTGCCGAACTTAGGCGCGAGAACGGTTTGTCCAAAACATATGAATTTGGTCTTATTCAATGCAGGATTAAGTGCCCTTTAACCGTCATGAAGACCACTTTTCGATAGGGTAAGTCCTTTACGTGGTATAACCGGAAACCCGAAAAAACGCCCCTTTCGGGGGCCCCCACCACTTAAGCACAACTCCGTCGAAGTCGAAAACTTAGGAGAGTCTTAATGGGCAACCAATGAAGCCATTAAAGCAAAAAAATCTTTTGTAGGAATTATTTCCGATTTAATCAATTTTTGTGTTTAATTCTACTGGCCTATATGACTTTTTTCAGCGAGAAACAAACATCAATTTTCCCCGTGTTAATCAACTTATGCGCGCGCGCACCGATGCGCGGGAAGCTTGCGCAAAGAGGTTCGATTGCACAAGTCATAAGAAAAGTAACAAATTCCATTTTCAAAAGTCTTTTCTAACCGTCTTTTGTTAAATTACGATAAGTCAAGGTTTCTCCCTCCAAAAAGTAAGTTAAAAATATTATATTCTAGGCGGTTGTTACTTAAAAAATTAAAGGATCTAGCTCTGGTCAAAGGTTCAAACCTACTTACTTACTGAAAAACTGAATCAATTTTATACTTTAGTTAGCAAAAATCACCTACCTTGCCCTTTTTAAGACAAAATCCATTAGTGCACTTTATCAACACACACGGCCTTATTTTTGTCTCTAAACTAATAGGTACCTAAAGGTTCTTCACTTAGGAAAAGGATCTTAGCTAGGTACTCTTTAGGTGACACTAAGAATATTCTAAAAGACAATAACAAAACAGGACTGACCGTCAATCCTCTGCTGCTGCCAGTCCGCGCGCCACTCCTGGCCCTCCATCACTTTTCCTCGCGCTATTATTTTTTCAACGGGACACAATAAATCAGTTTTCCCCGCGTTAATCAACTTATGCGCGCGCGCACCGATGCGCGAGAAGCTTGCAAGGAGGTTCGATTGCACAAATTATAAAAGAAAGTAATTCCATTTTTTAAGCGTCTTTAACCGTCTTTTGTTTTGCGATAAGTCAAGACTTCTCCCCCCAAAAAGAAGTTATAAATACATTTAGATGGTCATTATTTGTAAAATAAAAGCTCTGCTCAAAGGTTCAAACCTACTTACTAAATTGAAGTACTGAATCCATTTTATACTAGTTAGCAAAACTCACCTACCTTGCCCTTTTTACGATAAAATCCATAAAATCACTTTATCAACACACACAGCCTTATTTTCGTATCTGAATCAGTACAATAGGTTCTTCACAGATAATTAGATTAAACACTTAGAACAATACGAAAATAGGTAGTAAGGTAGGTAGATGACACTAAGACTACTTATTGGAAAAGACAATAACAAAACGGGACTGACCGTCAATCCTCTGCTGCTGCCAGTCCGCGCGCCACTCCTGGCCCTCCATCACATTTCCTCGCGCGATTATTTTTTCAACGGGACACAATAAATCAGTTTTCCCCGCGTTAATCAACTTATGCGCGCGCGCACCGATGCGCGAGGAGAAGCTTTCTGTCGTCGGGCTACGTGCGCGGGCGCCGCCCTAACGCCCCACGCCTACCGGCCGTTACACCCACAGATGCTGTTCGGGATATTATTATGTATTGCATGCGCTCTTTGTGTATCGGTGGATATACTGAGGTTAGATGACGGTTAGGTATGGATTAATTCATCATTGGAAAATTAAGTTTACCAAAAAAAACTCATTATTTAAATCTTTAGATTTAGCATAGACGAGATAGAAAAGTTTGTGTGTTGTGTTTCAATATACATATACTGTTCTTATTCAGTTCGCAAGTTTTAGATTCATACTTGAGCTTCATTAAGATACATGCCTGCTTGCGTAAGCTCATTTTTTTATTCAAAAGTAGAGTCAACGTCGTTTTTAATTAATTCTAGAGGAGTACACACTTACATAGAGCCTTTTAATTTCAGAGACCATGATATTGATGAGCTCAAACAATGCTCTCCCATTTACTACAAGCATTAGAGGTACGTAAATTAAATAACTTTTGGAGAGTATTTAGGTCCCTAAAACTAATTAAAACATTCACTAAACTCTCAGAAATGATGTTGATTATGCATTACAAAGTTGAATGTAACAACAACTTACAATGTTAAATATTATGTAGAGTCAATTCTATGAAACGCTCACAAAGTTGATTAACATATCATTTACTATCAATCAGCTTATCCAACAGTTAAATGACTATAACACTTATATTTCTGCAAAATATTACGTCACATGAACATCTAAATGGGTGTCTATGAATCTACGTTTCTGCGGGGCTACACCTAACTGTTGGAAAACTTCGAATATAACAAAATGAATTAATAACGACTCTACCATTATCTAGGGGAAATGCATGGTTTATCAAAAATCGCATTCTCAATCTATAATTTAAATCTTGAGCCAGCTACTCGTAAATTGACAACAATCAGAACTGGCTACATTACTTAGCTTAGCTTTTAACATACGTATTCGAATTCGAATCTTCTAATAAATAAAAATGAATTGATGTTCGTTAGTCTGATTAAAACTCGAGAACGGCTGGGCCATGGGCTGGGCCGATTGAGCTGATTTTGGTTTTTTAAATGCTTGTCGTAGTCCAGGGTAGGTCTAAACGGTGAGCAAATACGCACGCGATATTGTTTTTCTGTGACAGACAAAATTCCACGTGGGCGAAGCCGCGGGCGGAAAGCTAGTGAATAATAAAAACCTATTTCTGAAGTAAAGAACTTCGAGGATGATTCTTAAAAGAATTTTCTTACATCTTATGCAGAAATAAATTTATTTATTATTGCTCAAGTAAGTACCTATGTATTTTCAAGGCTTTTTAGCGATTGTAAACTTTTTGTCTCTGTCTTGCAAACGCACAAACTGACGACTAATGAATAGTTTTACTATAGTACAAGATAGTAAAGAAGGTATCTTTCTTATAAATAATTTGATAAAATCGAATTTCCTAAGTTAGGAATAAAGTGGGATCGATCCCCACCTTAGACAGTTCGATTTTTTCAAGTTTTTTATAATTTAGTTTTACAGGCGACTCTTACGGCTACAAAATATCTTACCTGTAACGCATCCTGTTGAACTCTGTTTAACGGGAAAACGATCAAAGCTATTTCTGTATTACTTCCATTGTATTTAATCGAAAAAAAGACTCAAGACAAAAGATTCCCCCGAAGACAATAATTCAAAATTCCCCAATCGATATCCCAGTGAATACGGACCCTTACCCGAATTGATGGTTATTTATAAAGTGCTGCCAAGAAACTTAATCTTTCAGCAGCGGCTGCACAGTGTAAACTGACTGACTGTAAACACAGAAGGTACTGCAGTTTGGGCGTAACTCAATGTGCTGTAAACGTTCATAGAGGTGTTTGACTGCGCTATGAAGGATTAAGGTGCAAAATATGATAACATTTATGATTTCCCAGTCTATAATAGTGAAAGGAAAGGTAGAGTCGGACTTTTAAAGATAATAAATGAATAATAATAAATAAATGAAGTCGGTTAATAAAGTCCATTATTGCTTACTTAGCTAGTTACAATAATATAATACACAATACTATACAATAGTTACTTAACTATCTATTATAGTAAAGTGAAGGTAGCAGGAAACATGGAAAGCATTGGAGGAGGCCTATGTTCAGCAGTGGACGTCCTATGGCTGAAATGATAATGATTCGGACGAGTCGGACTTGCAGTCTTTCAGCGACTTGGCGCACTTTTAGCTTGGTCCACGGGATAAGTCGCTGGACTGCATTTATAAATATTTTTTCTTCCGGCAACTAGGCCCACTCTAAGATTCTAGAGTAGATTTTTGTTGATTTGGTGTTTAATTTATTAACAAAACATCGAAGGTGCCCGCTGTCTACCAGGTTCCGGACTGTAAACACGGATGTAGGTACTGCAGTTTGGACGAACTCAGAGTGCTGTAAACGTTCATAGAGGTATTTGACTGCGCTATTAAGGATTAAGGTGCAAATATGATAACACTAGCTTTCCGCCCGCGGCTTCGCCCGCGTGGAATTTTGTCTGTCACAGAAAAACTTTATCGCGCGCGTCCCTGTTTCAAAAACCGGGATAAAAACTATCCTGTGTTCTTTCCCGGGACTCAAACTATCTCTATGCCAAATTTCATCAAAATCGGTTGCGAGGTTTAAGCGGGAAAGCGTAACAGACAGACAGACAGACAGACAGACAGACAGACAGACAGACAGAGTTACTTTCGCATTTATAATATATAATATAATAATATAATAATATAATAATATAATAATATGTTACGGCTAAAGATAGGTGTGAACATAAACTTAAGATTAGCCGGCTAAACTTAAGTTTATCTTCGACGAGGTATTAATCTTAGTTTCTTCTATCTTTAGCCGGCTAAACTTAAGTGTAACCGCAGGCCCCTGGCTAAAAATGTAGAAGGAAATGGAAAAGGAAACAATGTAATAATTGTTTACTATTTTGACACGAAAACTTTATTAAAAAATATTCACTTTCATTACACATAGACACTTAAAATTTGGAAGGGACGTAACTTAGGTACCGTAGGTGCACTAAGAAAGGAATTCCCGAAACTCCCATGGGAACGGGAATTAGCGGGAAAACCGCTTAAGTTAGCTTGAAATTTGGCATGCAGGTACCTTAGTAAACTTAAAGCTTAGTTACAACAGGATATTGCAAAAATCCCACGGGAACGGGAGTTAGCGGGAAAAAAAAATTGTATGAAAAAATCTAAACCACGTAAGATGGTCACCGCAGAATAACAGCGTCATGTTCTGGGTTTTATTTACTACTCCAAAGCATGACACATGCTGAGCGGTGGCCAATTTTGGTTCTAACTTGTACTTGATTTTTGTTATTTGTGTGTTATATTTTAAGTTGGAACCAAATAAATGTTTTTCTGTCTTTCTTTCTTTCTAAGATAGATGAAGGGGGTAAAACGGGATCCACGCGTACGAAGTAGCGGGCGGCCGCTAGTCGAAAACATTTTTAGCCGTTTCGTTTTGGCTGATGTGCACATTAGCCGGCTAAAGATGGAATATCACGACGCAAACTAACATGTTATCGAACTTTAGCTCCTTCTCGAAGATAAAATTAAGTTTAGCCGGCTAATCTTAAGTTTATGTTCACAACTATCTTTAGCCGTAACATATATATAGTTGGGATTTACTCCTCTCAAGTCTGAAGTCTAAAATGGGTATACAGTTGTGAGATAAGGTAGAGTCAGACTTGTACTTGTTGTTTGTACGATAAGTATTATAGATAAATATATCTTTTGTTGTTTAATTGTATTGCTACACATATGCGAAAACATGTAAATGGTGTATAGTTTCTTAAGTAGTGGTTATTAGTCTATTATTGTTTCACCATAATATGATATAAATGATATAAACATATTATGTTTTCATCATTTCAGCCACAGGAAGTCCATTGCTGAACATAGGCCTCCCTCAATGATTTCCGCATGGCTCGGTTGGTAGCGACCTGCAACCAACGCTTTTCTGCCATCTTTGTAAGTAAAGCTATTACTTACCTAGTTACAATATTTGAAGAAAAAAAGATCTGTTGTGTAGCCCTGATAATCTTGAGAACGAAGGTAAATTCAAACAGTTTATTTCTAATAATCTTTTATTTACATTCGTAGACTAGGAAAATGAAGTGTCGGTACTGCCTTTTGATAAATCTAGCATGATCACAAATCTTCTTATGATTCCAAGTTGCATTCTAAGTACCTACTTTCGCTGTTGAAGTTACATTATGTAATGTATGTGACTTTGTCGAATTAAAATCTATATCGAATCTTTTCACTGTCTGGATTTACTGAAATTGGAACATTACAGTTATCATTTCAATGTAGAGTTTGTGCAATTTTTAAAAAATCTGCATAAAGGTGGTTGATTTCAATGGAAGACGCAAGTAATTGGTGCTATTTTATGAAAAACTTTCCGTGAACTTCCATGAAAATGAACAATGAAATGTTCGCTGTGGGCCACGTGCCCCTCTCTCATGGTGTCTGCAGAATACCAGTGGCCGTAACGTGCTCCCGAGTACGTTATGGCCTCATACTGAGCAGAGACCAATTTGGTACAAATAATTCTCTTTTTTTTTGCTCTTTTGTTGATCTGTATTGTAATATCTTTGATACCAAATAAATATTTTTTCTTTCTTTCTTAAAAAATATATTTATTGCCAGACCAAGTAGTGTAAAATAAAAGACAGACCTCCACACTAGGCATTGCCTGTCCTGTGGAGGAAGGAATCACAATTACAAGTAGGTAAGTAGTAGCTATTAACGGCTAAGTAGAAGTACAATAAAAAAAATATTAATAAGGATACAATAAATCAAAAGATAGGATTTAAAGGGCATTAGGAATGAGTGTTGAGTGTGTGCAAGTAAAAGTTAAAATCTAACTAGTCAACTTGAATAGTCCTTAATTTTATGTAATTTTACGAAATTAAATATTATGTACTATTGTAATGTTTAAATCTAGATAAAAAGTTGAAATAAATAGGCACTAATTTACATATCAAGCAACATATACATTTAAAATACAAGAAAAACAATTTTCGTAAACGTTATTAATGGAACATCTTCAAGAGTACGATATAATAATATTTGAGTCAATTACAATATTTTGAAATTTTTCCCATGTTCTTTTGATCCAATAAATGTAAATCTCTCCACGATACCGCCCACACAATGCGTCCAGGGAAATATTTATTATATCCAGACCAACAAGAATAATTTGTATTTAATTTTTCTCAAAAAACATACAAACAAAAATGTTCTTGGAACATTCAATCTGAAACGCATAACTTTCTCTGTAGGCGTGACTGAGGTAAAGTAAGCCATCTCGCTCTTTTGCTTAAAAATAGACGTGTGCGACAGAGATGCAGCACAAAGGGCGGTGCGCATGCTCAGACGAGTTCATCCCACACAGTGTCAGAGAATTTTACTGAAAAATAAAATACAAATAAGCTGCTAATAGATATTTAATTAATCACATAAATACATTCTAAGGAACGGAACTAGAGGCTCGTTTTGTGTTAGACATTTGTCATTGTTAAATACAATAATAGCCGGTCTTTAGATCAAAGAATAATGGCGATTACTTTGATTTTGAATTATTAATTACAGGATTTTTTTCTTAGTGATGACTAATAGATACCTAGGTACGTAAAGATCAAATTACCTACAGTTTTTGCTAATTAAAAATTATTTAATTAATACCTGTATGCGGGCAATGCTGGACCGGTCGTTAAGGAAATCCTTGGGGGAAATCTTTGTCCAGCAGTGGACGTCATTAATTTGGCTGAAACGAATGAATGAGCGATAAATTAAGTAACTACGAGTAGGTACTTCATAAAAACACTTTCTTAAGTAGGAACCCTTTTAGGTACGTTTTATAGCACGTAATTAAATAGGGCAAAAGCTCAATTTCAGCAAATGCTACGAAAGCTCTTCGTTTAGTTTTCAATTATACTGCTTCTTAATAATGCAACAAATGCAGTGAAAAATTATCTTCCCTCCATCTACAGAAAGTCTACAAAAGAAATCCTAAATGACCATCCTCCCATTCTGTATAACGGTATCCTCTTGAAAAATACAGATAAAACTTAGTGACGCAGACCACCAAAATAAAAAAATAACCAAACAGGCTGCATTTCCGAGAGAAAAATCCCCTATTTACGTGCGCAGGCGACGACAGCAGCGCAATCTCCTGCGTTTGTCTGTCAGCGGGCACTCGCGCGCCGGATGCGCCTGAAAAAAAATGGGCGCACCACGGTTTCTTTACGACACGGACAATCCGGGACTGAATTGTAGTTTCACTATATTGAAAAGCTTAGGAAATAATTGTGGCCTGTAGACCATCGTAATGAACGCTATTAAAAATGTAAACTTATGACTTTGTTCACGTTCAAAATATTATTTTCTTTACACTCACTCTGAGGCATTAATAATGTATTTAAATAAATAAATACTCGTACATTATGCCAGGCATTCTTTTCCATTCAACCTTTGGGCAACGCAGAAAAGAGTAGGTATCTAATATAATTTAACTTGAGCTGAAGATTTTTTCGAATATAATAAGATTTGTGTAGTGACTTAGCTTAGGCATTATCTGTATTTTCCAAATCAGTTTTCACATATTTTACTCGTAGCATACCAACCGCAATCTGTATCTGTACTTGTAGACCACATTTGGCACCTACTTCAAGTAGAAAAAAAAATAAAATTATCCGTCCTACTAATAAATGAAATGATGGTCCCCCTACAAGTGAAACGTTCACAGCAAACACTAAAGTTTTGTTTACTGGGATGCTCGTAAAGTCGTAAACTACTGTGCGGCCGTATTTACCAATGGCCGCGCGCGCGCACGTTCAAAGAGTTTGGTAGAGACATTATGTTATGACGTTACATTCTAGGTATTTTTCCATTGGACTGAAAAATGCCTGAAAACTGCGATTGTTGTTAAGTATTTTTCAGTCCAATGGAAAATACCCAGAATGTAACGTCTTGATTTGTCTCTTATATTTATAAGTTTCATGATGGTTTCATGATAAATCTTACTCTACTGTAGAAAATAAAAGAAATTAAATCAATATGCGCAAAACTTCATCAAGAAAGTAGATGATATTTCGATTGCAGACTAAAGAAATAATTATTTCTAAATTTTCTTTTGAATGAACTCAAGGCAAGCAAAACTAACAAAATAACGAAACCCTTTTTCAGGATTTTTAGTCTCTTGACAAAAAAGTTGTTTAAACTATATTATTAAGGTAACTTTAATTGTTATATTATCTAGTACTAGTCATACTACTACTATGTCGTCAATTACTCATCATGACATGATAAAGTAAGAAGACTACCCTCACTTAAGACTTGTTAAGCACTTAAAAGCTTCCATTCGCTATTCTATCATAAAATCAAACATCTGATTGTGTCTCTTGGTCAAGGTAGATCCATCCACCATTATTTTTATCATCGCAAATATAGTGTCATAAAACCATCGACACGGTTCAGGTGAACGGCCGCGCTGCGCGTCGTTCGCAAGATGGCTCCCATTTATCTGTCATCGGACCGTCTGATGCGCGCCAAAATAAGATTATTGGAAATTTGACACAAGAGCCCGCGTAGTTTACGATCTAGACGCGCTTTATGTGAAGATGTGGTGGTGATGACGCATGTAAGTGGTCCTTGGGTATTTTGGGATGAAACTATTCTTGTTGTAATGTTCTTGAGATGTTTGGACCCTTTGGAAGGTGTGTGAGTTATGGGGCTACAGTTTACGTGAGAACTGTTTCGAGTGTTGACGGGAATGTGGTAGGGTAGGATGTTTGTTACGCTGTTTATGTTCGCTAGAGTTTTCCACTCATTATAGTTGGCTTTATTACTCATCTGGGACTGGGACTCTATTACAAAGAACTTAAAGGTGCGTAGGTAGGGCAGAAGTACTTAGGCCGGTTTTAGCCATTTTCCTATAAGTAAATGTAAGATAAGCGAAATCATTTTAATTTTGAGTATTTTTGACAGTAAATGAACCTTAAGTGGCCAGAAAAGGTACAGCGACCACAAAGGGGGTATTTACCCTATTAATGGAACGAACGAATGAAGTACGACGAAGTACAAGGTAGAGAGCATCAATTTTATTGGAGATCTAACGATTATTCATACTTCATACGATTATCATAAGTATGAAGGGACAGACTATGTATTCATAACTGACTTCAACAGTGGAACAATTACAAAAAGGAGACGATTTATATAGTTTGCAGTCGTGAAGTTTACGTTTTATAGTATTCAAATTAATTTAAGTACTACAGACCTACTATACTATTCCTATAACTAAGTAAATGATAACGAAACTATGATTCAAGAAAACTAAAATCAGGAACCAAACACGGGACTCGCCGTGTTTATGCTCTATGCTCTAATGCCGGAAAGTAATTTTCCGACATAGAGCGCGAGCGGCGCGTCACATAAAATGAAATTTATATGAAACAAATCGAAACAAGCTAATAAGTATCTACAAACAATGGTTATCAAGACGATTACATAGATTTTAAAGGTAAATGGGCACTCGCCATCACTGTTCTCGCCATTCTTTGGCAAAAGCAAAAGTCTTAAAAGCGCCATCTATAGCTATACTATCAAAACTGAAATTAATGGCGTTTTTGAATTTCCACATTGCTTTTTTAAATTTGCAAGAGATGTCGTTAAATAGGCTTTTCGTGGATTCGGGATTCGATTTACGTCATTAATTTACGCATTTAATTAACAAATAATTTTATTTAAAAAAAAATTGTTGTAATTAAGTTTTGAGGATAAGAAAATGTATTTAATAAAATACAAATTTTCTTCAACCTCCGTAGAACAGAACGACCTAGTTTAAAAAAAGTTGCCACTTTAATTAAAATGTTCAATATATTGTTTGAGTGGTTTTGATTCATATAATTTAATTAAACACAGGCAAAATTAATCTATTTGTGTAATATTAAACAAATATTGGTGTTTGATTATATTTTTAACAAGATTGATGATGGTTGTTTGAACTTGTTTGTGTCTACTTTTTTGTAATATGGCAACAAAACTTGTTTTTGCGAGAAAACCGTGAGGAGCATCGTGAATTTTATTTTGATTGAAAATTTGTAATGTGAACGCTATTGTAGCGTTAGTTGGTGTCTTAGTGCGTTGTTATTGTTTTGTTTTACGTATGTACCGTCAGCTTCCCAAGTGGAGCTCCTAAGAAGGCTACTCGCCATGGCGGGGCCGTCGGACGGCGAGCCCGAAGGCTGGGCCGAGTTTTGCGAGCGTCAGGCCAAAGCGGCCGCTCAGGACTTCGCCAAGACCTGGCTGCAGTACATACACACCAGCGGCAATGACCCCCAACGGCCTCAAGTCACAAACAAGGAGTTAGTGAAAAAATTCTGCGACTGCTTCTCCGATCAGTTCGAATTTGAGTTAGTGAAGTTAAAAACGCTAAATAAAGTCCCGAACGGCACTCACACAGGCCACGATGAGAGTGACTACTCAGAGGACACGGATTCTCCTAAAACGCAGCACAAGCCATTCTTTCGCAGGTTATCTTTCAAATTGCGACGCGGTAAGGGTTTATTTAAACAACATTCGGATGAAGTTGAACTGTCGTCGAATTTGAATAAACACAATAAGACTAAACTAGCTAAGATAGTAGTAGAGTGTAGGAAAGAAGGTCTGGTTAATTATTTGACCCCGGAAAGCTTAGAGCAGCCTGGAGGTCCTCAGAAATGGGAGAGATGTAGACTGGCACTTGTGAAGACTGTTGGAGGGTATATGCTGGAGTTCTATTCCCCGCCGAAGGCACAGAAACCTCGCAGTGGTGTTTTTTGCTTTTTAATATCAGAAGCGAGAGAGACCACTGCTTTAGAAATGCCTGACCATGAAAATACTTTTGTATTAAAGGTTTGTAGTTAATTTAATTAAATTATTTGTGTAATCATGCATGAGTGATAATTAATTTCTTTCATTTATGCTATAAGCTATAGTATAATAGGTTAAAACTATTACGATTTCCTTCCTTGTAGGAAATTGTTATATTACATCTCAAAATACTATTAGGCATGGATATTTTGAGACAACTACCTAGTATAGTTACACACACTTAAAATAACCTACACAGCTGTAAGTTTTTACCCGACTGCGCCATAAGGAGGGTTATGTTTTTAAAAATCTTGTTTATTAAAGGACTAGTCCAAAAAAAAGTTAAAATTGATTAGGATATTAACTTATTTACGAGTAAAGACTTCCCTTTAAATCTATTAATTTTGTGCTTTGTTAATTAGTTGAGGAAAAACATAAAACATGGTATTTTAAAAAATCATAATATTTTCAGTGGTCGCCTGGGGGATTGAAGTATAGTACTAGGCCTTGAATTGACACTGACACTCACGTAAATCATAAAATACTTGGCTGGGTTGCACCATTATACTTTAACTTGAACAAACGTCAAAAGTTTGTCAAACTCTATACAAAAAACACCAGTTATTGTTATACTTACAGTTAGTTAGGTGGTGCAACTCAGCCGTACTAATTATAATTATTAATTGTACCATCTTGTATTATTTCCAGGCAGACAACAATATGGAATATGTAATAGAGGCGGCAGACGTAGACGATATGAAATCCTGGCTGGCCACGATCAAATACTGCATGAGATCTCCGCCGACCACACAACCACCGCCCGATGCGCTACCCGGCTTGCCTGAGCCGGCGCCACCAGACCTTCCGCCTCGGAGGGACCTGCCTCCTAGCACTAGTAACACTGACCTTGCCACGGATACCCCGGAAGAGGCTGAATTAGGTATGTGTTTAATAAGTGCCCTGCTTAAATTAGCCAAGATGGTATGGTTTTGTGTCTGTCTTGTATGTAGCCAAATGTAATGTTGCCTATCAACTTTTTTTTAATCTTAATTAATTCTAGACTTCATATCATGTTAAGATACTGCTTTTTTATATGGGCAACAAACCTGCTGATGATTCCACTAAGGGAAAGATGTGTGAACATCCTAGGCAACCATCCTACACACAACCTTCTATAATTTACCCTGGCTAGGGTAGGCCCTGCAGTAGAGACCTAGAGCTACGCGTTTTTACTCGAGTGCTTATAGACAAACACGTGCCTGTATGTGGACAGAATCCCTCTGGATAGTCTGTATATGATGCGATTTGAAAGATACGAGGAAATCTGTGTCATCTGGACTAGCTTTTAATGGTCTGATGATTATTATTATTCGGTCTAATAGCTTCAATGGTGCGAATTTGAAGCACACTGGTTTTGCCAATGTCGCGTGTTTAGACTCTAAACTTTAGAGAGACACGGTGGACAGTTAAATGTAACAACAACAGTTAAATGTCAATTTCAGTCTTGAATCTGTGCTGGAGTTAAAATAAAGTTTTAAATAAATGCTAACAGTTATTGCATTGACCACCTTACTAAAATTTCTTTATTTTAGATATTCATATGCTGTTGAATCTTACATTCTAAATCATATCTCCCAGGTTCAATAGCAGAAGAGGCGTGCGAATCCTCCCGCGTGTCTCTAGCGGAATGGCCGTGGTTCCACGGCACGCTGGCGCGCGCGGCGGCGGCGGCGTGCGTGTTAGCCGGCGGTGCTGCGGCGCACGGCTGCTACCTGGTGCGCCAGAGCGAGACGCGCCGAGGGGAATATGTGCTCACCTTCAACTTCCAAGTAAGTTTGTAGGCAGAACAGGCGGCTGGGAGGAGTATGTGCTGACCTTTAACTTCCAAGTGTGTTTCTTTAGACAGCGGGGCTATTGTCAGCGCTCATCATCATCATCATTTCAGCCACAGGACGTCCACTGCTGGATATAGGCCTCCCCAAATGGAATTCCAACAGCCTGCTACCAGCGCCTTACTGCTGCCTTTAGGAGGATATCTGTCCACCTTAAAGGTGGACGTTCTACGCTACGCTGCACTCCAGAACCTTCCGGCCTATTGGCCGTCAGTTCTACGTGCTATGCCCTGCCCATTACCATTTCAGCTTCTTTCATCAGCGTCATTTCTGATTCGCTCACGTATAGGAACACCAAGCATAGCTTACCGCTCGTTCCCACCGCTGTAACTCCTGTGTAGCCTGGATAAGAAGAACATAAAAGCAGCCCAAAGCTAAGGATCACCAGACACCAGCAACCAGCATAAGCCTCCTCATTGACTTGAAAGGGAATGTAGGCCAAATCCTAGGTCTCCCCAACTCATCTGGCCAGGGTAGGGAGTGTCCTCCCTGTCCCGGCTCGCTGGCGCGCGCGGCGGCGGCGGCGTGCGTGTTAGCCGGTGGTGCTGCGGCGCACGGCTGCTACCTGGTGCGCCAGAGCGAGACGCGCCGAGGGGAATATGTGCTCACATTCAACTTCCAGGTGAGTTTGTAGGCATAGTGTCTTCTCTTTCCCACAGCTGTAACTGTAAGAAGAACATAGGGTGCGCCAGAGCGAGACTAAGCGAGTTTGTGCTCACCTTCAACTTTCAGGTGAGTCTTATTGCCGTCTCTTGGTCATATTTAAANTGTGAAGTCCGTGAAGTCCCACCTGAAAAAGGTTCTCACTACCAACTTGACCTTCGAGGAAATGACCACATTGCTATGTCAAATTGAATCTCTTCTTAACTCAAGGCCATTGACACCAATTGATGACACAGATGTAAACAATTTGAGCCCACTAACACCTGCACACTTTTTGATCGGAGAACCTACAGTCGAAGTACCCACTCCAGATCTAACCAGCTTAAATATCAACCATTTGGCAAGATGGCAGTATACACAAAGATTGTTACAATCATTTTGGAAGAATTGGCAAGCGGAATATTTGACACGTCTACAGCAACGTCCAAAATGGCTGAGAAAGCAACCTGAATTTGACATAAATGACGTAGTACTGATCAAACATGAAGGCCTGCCTCCTGGAAAGTGGCTGATGGGCCGCATTGTGGCCAAACATCCTGGGCCTGATGGAGCTACGCGTGTGTACAGTGTGAAGTGTGGTGATAGTGTTACTAAAAGATGTGTTACTAAATTGTGTCCATTAATAAGTGCTAAAGACGATTAGTGATGATAAAATTGATGAACATTAAACATTAATGTGTGCATGCATTTCATTTTGTTAAAGTTAATTACATTTATTAAGTGATACTGATAAGTGTAAAGGCATAGGCCTTTTGGTGGGCGGTGTATGTTAGTTCAAAACGCCTACGCGCCTGTATAAAACTCGTTGTCGATTGTAAAAAGTCAGTAGTCAATAATACAAAGCTAAAGGATCATCACGTCTGTGTTTCAATTCACTAGTTACGCAAATAACAACCCTAAATCAAGCTATCGGAAGGAACAACGCCATCATTGCTGAACATAAGCCTTTTTCTAAAAGTATCTAGATTGACATCTACAGGTGGACATACGCCTCCGCCTCGCCCGCGCCCTTCACGCACGCGCACAACGTCATCACCTACCACCCGGCGTCCGCGCGCGCGTAGCACGAAGACAGCGGCGTAGACGTAAGCGGGTGACGTCATCTTGCAAATCCAGGACGTCCGTTGGTCCATTAGTTTGCAGATAGGCTTGAGGCGCATTTTATGCACGCGCACAACGTCATCACCTACCATCCTGCGTCTGCGCGCGCTTAGCAAGAAGATAGCGGCGTAGACGTAAGCGGGTGACGTCATTAGTTTCCAGATTGGTTTGAGGCGCCTTTCACGTATGCGCAAAAGGTTATCATCACCTACCACCCTGCGTCTGCGCTCGCGTTGCACGATGATAGTACAGGCCACGTGGATGTAAGCAGATGACGCCATCACTGCAGGCAATTATGGCTCTCCTAAAAGTATCTAGATTGGTCAGTTAAAAGCCTGCATCATGCATCAGTGACAGGACAATCTACAGGTGAACATACGCCTCCCCCAGTAATATCTAAATAACATAGATTAGAAGCGCCCTTCACGCACGCGCACAACGTCATCACCTACCACCCGGCCTCGGCGCGCGCGTAGCACGAAGACAACGGAGCTGATGACGTCATCTTCCAAGTTCAGGACGTCCATTAGGACGTGCCCTTTACGCACGCGCACAACGTCATCACCTACCATCGCGCCTCGGCGCGCGCGTAGCAACACGCTGGTGATGGAGACGTGAGCGGGTGACGTCATCTTCCATCCTAATTCAGGACGTCAATTTTGGTTTGAGACGCTTTTCACGCACGCGCACAACTTCATCACATACTATCCGGCCTCGGCGCGCGCGTAGCACGAACATAGCGGAGCTGATGACGTCATCTTCCAAGTTCAGGACGTCCATTAGAACATTCCCTTTACGCACGCGCACAACGTCATCACATACCATCCGGCTTCGGCGCGCGCGTAGCGACACGCTGGTGATGAAGACGTGAGCGGATGACGCCATCACTGCTGAACATAAGCCTCTTCTAAAAGTATCTAGATTGACATCTACAGGTGAACATACGCCTCCCCCAGTAGTGTCGAAATAATATAGATTAGAAGCGCCCTTCACGCACGCGCACAACGTCATCACCTACCATCCGACGTCCGCGCGCGCGTAGCGACACGCTAGTGATGGAGACGTGAGCGGGTGACGTCATTAGTTTCCAGATTGGTTTGAGACGCCTTTCACGCACGCGCATAATGTTATTACATACCATCCCGCGTCTCCACGCGCGTAGCAACACGCTAGAAGAAGTAATGAAGGCGTAAGCGGATAATGCCATCACTGCGGGACATATGCCTCTCCTAATAGCATGCGCGCTGCAGCTGCCCGCCGCCGCCTCGCCCGCGCCCACGCACGCGCCCTTCACGCACGCGCACAACGTCATCACATACCACCCGGCGTCCGCGCGCGCGTAGCACGAAGACAACGGAGCTGATGACGTCATCTTCCATTCAAATTCAACATAGTTCCAAACTAGTTTGAGGCGCCTTTCGCGCACGCTTATTTTTATTACATACCACGACGTAAGCGGATGTTGCCATCACTGCAGGACACATGCATCTCCCTAGATTGGTCGGTTGAAAGCCTACATCGCGGCTTACCTTATTATTTCAGTTAGTTTCCGGATTGGTTTGAGGCGCTTTTCACGCACGCGCACAACGTCATCACATACCATCCGGCTTCGGCGCGCGCGTAGCGACACGCTGGTGATGAAGACGTGAGCGGATGACGCCATCACTGCTGAACATAAGCCTCTTCTAAAAGTATCTAGATTGACATCTACAGGTGAACATACGCCTCCCCCAGTAGTGTCGAAATAATATAGATTAGAAGCGCCCTTCACGCACGCGCACAACGTCATCACCTACCATCCGACGTCCGCGCGCGCGTAGCGACACGCTAGTGATGGAGACGTGAGCGGGTGACGTCATTAGTTTCCAGATTGGTTTGAGACGCCTTTCACGCACGCGCATAATATTATTACATACCATCCCGCGTCTCCACGCGCGTAGCAACACGCTAGAAGAAGTGATGAAGGCGTAAAAGCGGATGATGCCATAACTGCGGGACATATATCTCTCCTAATAGCATGCGCGCTGCAGCTGCCCGCCGCCGCCTCGCCCGCGCCCGCGCACGCGCCCTTCACGCACGCGCACAACGTCATCACATACCATCCGGCTTCGGCGCGCGCGTAGCGACACGCTGGTGATGAACACGTGAGCGAGTGACGTCATCTTCCTTTCAAATTCGTTTACGCGCATAGCACGATGATAGAATAGGCCACGTGGACGTAAGCAGATGATGCCATCACTGCTGGACATAAGCCTCTTCTAAAAGTATCTAGATTGGTCAGTTGAAAGCCTGCATCGTGCATTAGTGACAGGACATCTACAGGTGGACATACGCCACCGCCTCGCCCGCGCCCACGCACGCGCCCTTCACGCACGCGCACAACGTCATCACATACCACCCGGCTTCGGCGCGCGCGTAGCACGAAGATAGCGGCGTAGACGTAAGCGGGTGACGTCATTTTGCAAATCCAGGACGTCCGTTGGTCCATTAGTTTGCAGATAGGCTTGAGGCGCATTTTTTGCATGCGCACAACGTCATCACAAACCACCCAGCTTCGGCGCGCGCGTAGCAAGAAGATAGTGGTGTAGACGTAAGCGGATGACGTCATCTTCCATTCTGAATATAGGTCCATTAGTTTGCAGATAGGCTTGAGGCGCATTTTATGCACGCGCACAACGTCATCACCTACCATCCTGCGTCTGCGCGCGCGTAGCAAGAAGATAACGGCGTAGACGTAAGCGGGTGACGTCATTAGCTTCCAGATTGGTTTGAGGCGCCTTTCACGTATGCGCAAAAGGTCGCGTTGCACGATGATAGTACAGGCCACGTGGATGTAAGCAGATGACGCCATCACTGCAGGCAATTATGGCTCTCCTAAAAGTATCTAGATTGGTCAGTTAAAAGCCTGCATCATGCATCAGTGACAGGACATCTACAGGTGGACATACGCCTCCCCCAGTAGTAATCTTAATAACATAGATTAGAAGCGCCCTTCACCCATGCACACAACGTCATCACCTACCACCCTGCGTCGGCGCGCGCATAGCACGATCATAGTGGAGCTGATGACGTCATCTTCCAAGTTCAGGACGTCCGTTGCTGAACACAGGTTCATTAGTTTCCAGATTGGTTATCGCCTTTCACGCACGCGCATAATGTTATTACATACCATCCCGCGTCTCCACGCGCGTAGCAACACGCTAGAAGAAGTGATGAAGGCGTAAGCGGATGATGCCATCACTGCGGGACATATGCCTCTCCTAATAGGTACATTGGTCGGTTGAAAGCCTGTTATCCAGCGGCTTACCTTAAGGCTGATTTACACGTATTAATTAGAAAAGTAGGTAACTACATTTTAACTTAATTTTTCGGGTAAGTTGGTTGGCGGGGCTTGTCACTTGACACATTTTGACAAGCATTTTCATAGTAAACAAAAGCTTGACGTTTGGAAATAGACTTAAAATTAAGTTAAAAAAATACGATGTAATTTCATCATTTAAAATTAAGTTAAAATGTTGTAAACTACTTAATACGTGTAAATCAGCCTTTAAAACAAAAATAAATCAGGTATGAAATAAAAAACTTCACCCTTGTAAAACCCAACCTGAACAGTAAATACAATAATGTCAATGTATAGCCTGACCAGGAACATAAAAACCCTGGCACAGAGGCGCTTCAATTGCATTTGATAGTGCAACACTGCGTACAGTCGTACATGTGTTAAATTAATAGGCTAAATTTATGTATCAGGATTCAGGATTACGGGCTAATTTGATATTTTCATAAATTAACGAAAAATATTATTAAAGATAACCTGGTTTAAATAAATTAAATGAAACCATCAATCGAGCTAGTAGGATTTATTTTATTATTCATCAATAATCAAATTCAGAACATGAATATTCAACTGCAATGTCTGCTCATGAACGCTTCAAACTCGGTACTTCTTTCCCAATTCCATAAAATTCAAAACTTAGAAAGTGACAAAAAACTTTAAAATAGGTAGTTGAAACAGACTACAGCTAATTTTCATAGTGGACTGTACCATACGATAAACATGTCAGTCAATTTGACAACCTTTGTCGGAAACATTATTCAATGAAAATATTGTCCGAACCCTTAGTATTTCTCTTCGACAAATACATTAACACATCGTGAACCACTTTTCTTTCACGACTATAAAAATATTTTAGCAATTTAATTCACAAAATCAATTGCACACATTTAAAATAAAGTTTGTTTACACTTTGACAACAATAGACTGACATGCAAGGTGACATGTCAATGAAGTTTTCAGTTACTGTTGCCATTAAAAGAAATTAGTACCATTAGTTTTCCGCAACATGGCGAGGGTTTTTATGTTCCTGGTCAGGCTATAATTTCTACTTGTGATTATTAAGTGCCTAGTGAAATAAAATTTCTCACATAAAAAAAAAGTAATAAAATATGAACATTTGTTGAATTTCACGCAAAACTTCTTTATGTTTGCTTTTATCGTGATGGTAGTCTAGTTTTAAAGAAATATGTTAATATAATATAACTTATTAGAAGTGATGATGCTAGTTCTTATTAATAAATGTAATTAGGCTATTTGTTATTCTATTTTTAAGGCATTTCGTATGATTTTACGTAATTAATATTGTTGCGTTGCGTTGTTCCGTTCTGGCAACGAGAATTTATTTTTTTATTTAATTTTCGATAGTGAAAGTTAATTTTAAAAAACGAATTAAAATGTATTCCAAACATCACATTATTTTATTAATAATACCAATTTACTAATGTTATTATAAGCCGTAATGAAATTGAATGTTAAATAAAACTATTTTGCAGGTGTTATGTAAAATAGTTTTGTTTGTCATTAATTACCTACGAAATAAATATAGTTTATGTGAATTTTAAATTATGAAAAACGCACAATGTACTTTTTAAAATACATTAATAATTTAATAAAGGTGTGTTAAGA